TATGAATATCATGTAGATGGTAAAACGCTAACCAAAATTTGTCTAATCATCGCCATGTGATGACGTCACTTCAAAATTGTACATAGTAAAGGGGTTTTCAGTTGTATAAAATAACATAGTTCTACACATCAAAATTATAAAACAACAAACAACACAAACTGAGTGCTTGCAAATCTTGTAGATGTTTAAAATATAATAAATTTTTAATCAAAATATATTTGCTTATCCCCTCCAAAAAATTGATGAAGTCATCTCAAAATTTTGCCGGATAAATCCTATCTAAAATGTGCAAAATATGATCAGTCTATACTTGTGATTTATCACTGAATTATGGCATTTGCCAAAATTAGTCTTATCTTAGCAAGTACTAGCCCCGCCCATCTACCCTTATTTTCTCAGGTGATATGTCATTTGCCAAAGTAAGTATCTTAGCAAGGGCTGGCAAGTACTAGCCTCTGAGAAAATAAAGGGGGCGTAGGCGAGGCTAGTACTTGCTAACATAAGTCTTATTTTGTCAAATGACACATCCTTAGAGAAAATAAGGGGCGGGTGGGCGGGGCTAGTACTTAGTAAAATAAAACTGATTTTGACAAATACATACCCTCTAAGAAAGTAAAGGGTGGGTGGGCGGGGCTAATACTTGCTAAGATAAGACTTATTTCGGCGAATGACATATCCTCTGACAAAATACCGGGCGGGTGGGCGGGCCCAGCACTTGTTAAGATAAAAATGATGTTGCCCCTATTAATCTTGTAAACTATTGCTGAATATATCTTTATTTTAAATGTGTAAAATCTGATGAGTCTATACTTGTGAAATGGAAATGGAAATTTGCAATTTAACACCTTTTAAGTTTAACAATTGTTTACAAGTTTAATAGGGCCAAAATCAGTATTATCTTAGCAAGTGCTAGCTCCGCCCCCTTGCCACCTATTTTCTCAGAGGGTATGGCATTTGCCAAAATCAATCTTATTTTAGCAAGTACTAGCCCCGCCCACCCGCCCTCTGTTTTTTCAGAGAGTATGGTACTTGCCAAAATCAGTCTTATCTCAGGAAGTACTAGCCCCGCCCACCCACCCGTATTTTCTCAGAGGATATGTCATTTGCCAAAGTAAGACTTATCTTAGCAAGTACTAGCAAGTACTAACCTCTGAGAAAATAAAGGGCCAGTGGGCGGGGCTGGTACTTGCTAACATAAGCCTTATTTGGCAAATGACGTATCCTCTGAGAATATAGGGGGCGGGTGGGCGGGGCTAGTATTTGGTAAGATAAAACTGATTTTGGCAAATGACATACCCGCTAAAAAAGTAAAGGGTGGATAGGCGGGGCTAGTGCTTGCTAAGATAAGACTTATTTCGGAAAATGACATATCCTCTGATAAAATAGGGGGCGGGTGGGCGGGCCTACTACTTGTTAAGATAAAAATGATCTTGCCCCTGTTAATCTTGTAAAAACTTGTAAAGCTGTTAAATGCAAATTTCCATAGTAACGAGTTAAATTCCTAAATATACTCGAAATGTGGAAAATATGGTGAGTATTTGCTTCTGATTTATCATCGCATTCATATTTTTTAGATTTGCTTATACAGGTGGCTCAAAAAAATTAATGAATGCGTGAATTTATTTTATTAATTTAATCAGGAACTGAAAAACCGAATTATTTAAAGTCTTAGAGATGTTTTAAAGTTATCATAAGCATGGTAAATTTTTGACGAAAATGTATTTGCTCATCCCCCCTAAAAAATTGATGACATCATCTCAAAATATTGCTGTATATATCTTTATTTTGAATGTGCATAATATGATGAGTCTGTAGTTGAGAAATGTAAATGGAAATTTGCAATTTAACACCTTTTAAGTTTAACAGTTGTTTACAAGTTTAATAGGGGCAAAATCAGTCTTATCTTAACAACTGCTAGCTCCTCCCCCTTGCCACCATTTTCTCAGAGGGTATGGCATTTGCCAAAATCAGTCTTATCTCAGCAAGTACCACCCATATTTTCTCAGAGGATATGTCATTTGCCAAAGTAAGACTTATCTTAGCAAGTACTAGCAAGTATTAATCTCTGAGAAAATAAATGGGGAGTGGGCGGGGCTGGTACTTGCTAACATAAGTCTTATTTGGCAAATGACATAACCTCTGAGAATATAGGGGGCGGGTGGGCGGGGCTAGTACTTGGTAAGATAAAACTGATTTTGGCAAATGACATACCCGCTAAAAAAGTAAAGGGTGGATAGGCGGGGCTAGTGCTTGCTAAGATAATACTTATTTCGGCAAATGACTTTCTCTGAAAAAGCAGGGGGCGGGTGGGCGGGCCTAGTACTTGCTAAGATAAAACTGATTTTGTTTCTATTAATCTTGTGAAATTTAAAGGTGTTAATTGTAAACTTCCATAGTAACGAGCTAAATTCCTAAATCTACCGAAATCTGCAAAATGTGATGAGTTTTTACTTGCGATTTATCATCGCATTAATATTTTTTAGATTTGCTCATGCAGGGTGACTCAAAAAAAATTAATGAATGCTTGAATTTATTTTATTAATGTAATCAGGAACTGAAAAACCGAATTATTTGAAGTCTTGGAGATGTTTTAAAGTTATCATATGCATAGTAAATTTTTGATGAAAATGTATTTGCTCATCCCGCCCAAAAATTGATGACATCATCGCAAAATATTACTGTATATATCTTTAGGTATTTTAAATGTGCAAAATATGATGAGTCTGTAGTTGTGAAATCGAATTTTGCAATTTAACACCTTTTAAGTTTAACAATTGTTTACAAGTTCAATAGGGGCAAAATCAGTCTTACCTTAGCAAGTGCTAGCTCCGCCCCCTTGCCACCTATTTTCTCAGAGGGTATGGCCTTTCCCAAATTAGTCTTATCTCAGCAAGTACTAGCCCCGCCCACCCACCCGTATTTTGTCAGAGGATATGTTATTTGCCAAACTAAGGCTTATCTTAGCAAGTACTAGCAAGTACTAACCTCTGAGAAAATAAAGGGCGAGTGGGCGGGGCTGGTACTTGCTAACATAAGTCTTATGTGGCAAATGACATATCCTCTGAGAATATAGGGGGCGGGTGGGCGGGGCTAGTACTTGGTAAGATAAAACTGATTTTTGAAAATGACATATCCTCTGAGAAAATAGGGGGTGGGTGGGCGGGGCTAATACTTGCTAACATAAGACTTATTTCGGCAAAGGACATATCCTCTGACAAAATAGGAGGCGGGTGGGCGGGCCTAGTACTTGTTAAGATAAAAATGATGTTGCCCCTATTAATCTTGTAAAAACTTGTGAAATCTAAAAGTGTTAAACTGCAAATTTCCATAGTAACGAGTTAAATTCCCAAATATACCCGAAATGTGGAAAATATGATAAGTTTTTGCTTGTGATTTATCATTGTATTAATATTTTTTAGATTTGCTTATGCAGGTGGCTCAAAAAAATTAATGAATGCGTGAATTTATTTTATTGATTAAATCGGGAACGGCTCATCCCAATTTCCCAGAAAATTTTGGAAATACAATATTGTTATTTTTATTATTACAAAGTAATCGAAACAGCCTCCGACCAATTTTTGTAAATAATAGTGATTAACCCATATCTCCAAATTGCATTATTTAGCTGTTATGAAAAAAAAAATCATTTTAATATAATAGACTCACGCCAACAATAAGTGGAAACAACAATTAGATTTATCTTGATTAAGACAAGATTAAAATGAATTTGACGATAAATCTGTTTTGACACGAAAGTACCTACCCATACTTAAAAACTTGAAAATTTCATTTTGTCTGCATTTTTGACGCTGATATTTGTTAACAATCAAATTTTGAAGTGGTATCTCAAAATTAATGAACAATTATATCTAAACACTTATCATATCAAACAAACAAACATATTGTTATTATTTATTTTACTTGAGCACAAATGTTATGATGTGCATATTATCGAAAATAATGTATTTATATTCCAATGCAAAAGACGGTGAGGTCATCTCTAGAAATTATTAAACAAATCTTTATTGAAAATTGCTGCAGTATTTGTTATGCTTCAGAGACAAGGACAATTCTGCCTTGTAAACACGCTTAAATTTCCACATTTGTTAGAATAAATTGACTCAATAAAAAAAAATCTGTACGATATGAAGAGAATATGTAATTGGATATTTTTACAACGCTCTTTAAAAATAGCGTGAAATGTCACCAGCAACGTGTGAACGCTTGAGATTACATTTTTATCACACAATATGTGCATCAAGTTTGCTCCATACTTACGATTAAAAATATCTTTCCAAGAACAAAAACATTTTGTCGCTCTAATCTAGAATCTAGTCCAGTTTTAAATAACATTCAAGTTCAAACGAGAAAATATCAATCTACATAGAAAAAAAACAGCAACAAACATTTTGTGTGATAAGAATTCAACAATACTTTGTTATCGCCTTGTTGCTAAATATCCACGAGCAAAATTCCAGATATCAAAACCACCGTTTCAAAACGATAGATAAATATTGACAGTTATTGTTTCGAAACGACCATCATTATTTTTATGGCAAACAGTCCTAATGAGATATGACGTCATCACCGTGCTTATCGCAGCCGCGATGATAACAGAAATTTCCAGCGTGGAATTCTTTATTAGTGTCGTGTGATTGTAATGGCCTCATGGGAGAAATTAAAACCGAATGTAGATTAAATGGAGCCAAATTAAATCACCCATAATCAGGACAATGAGATCATTCTACTAAATCACATTAAATCAACACCTTATAATGTAAAACGCCAAAAAAATGTCCCACTGATGACTCACGAAATGTTTATTTGTAAGTGGCGCAACATATTGAAATATCCGTTAATTTCTACGCTGTCAAGAAATCTGGACCGTTTTAGAAACGTGTGGGACCGAAAAAGTCAAAAAGTGTGTTTTTCAGTTTGATAAACATCCGAAGTAAAATAAATAGAGTACAATGAGTAGATTAATATTTTCCAGTAAGTGGAATCGATGGAATATTCCAGAATCTACGCAGCAACTTTCGGTCGCTTGGTTCCTTCTTCACGTCACTCGAAACATGACTAGTTTGTAACGAGATAGAGAGAGAAATCCGATGCGACGGACAATGCAAAAATGACGCTTTTCCCCGGTCTAAAATCAATACTTGGTGGGAGCGAACTGCGCAGCGTCATTTTCTAGAATGTTCCATGGGGGGAGCAGACGGTATAAAAGTCGCCATTGCCCAAATCGGGACGCAGTTGAAGTGTGATCGTACGTACGATTAGTGTTAGTGAGAAGCCCAGAAGCCGCCCATTCCCAGCAAGATGGCGCCGGACGAAGAGGACACGTCACAGGATTTGTATCCCCTAACTCTCAAAATTCGTATCTAGCGTTTTTCTAATTCTATACTTCCGCTTGCACTAATTTTGTTTCTGCGATTGCTCCACTAAGTCTGGCCAACTTACGGGCGTAATCCCCTGAAACACAAAATTAGCAAGTCGCAGTGCCCCCGATTTTTTCCGTATGAAATTTGTTGGTTAATTTCAGAGATCGTAATCCAATATGGCGCCTAGGGCGCGGTCGCCATCATGCTAATCAATAGTCACGTGATCGATAGCGCAAATAGCGAGAGAGAGGGCTAATATCGTCGTAATGTAGTAAAGGTTGAGAAAGGTAGCAATTTCGGCAAAGGCCTAAGGTCATGGAGGCCGCACAATTTTTTTTAATAGATTTTTCTAGATAAGTTGTCAGCAACGGTTGAAGTAAATGGAAGGCGGGTTTATTTTACTCGGACAGGATTCATCCCTTGGTTAGAGAATAGAGATAGAGCCCCAAACGAGCTAATATTCGTGACTAAATGAATTCTGGACTTTGAGTTTTGAAATTAGTGACGTGTTACAACCATATTCTTGTTATTATTATTACTAACATCTCTTCTTACCATTCTCTATACACTATTAGTGTTTTTTTTAATACATAAATAACATGTTTAGGTGAAAAGTCAAACCTGATGGCGTTTGTATAACGAAACCCAACTGATTTTTGAATAAAGCATAATTAATTTTTACAACTAATTAGTTAAGTCAATGAATCTGTACCAATTTCCTTGCCTTAGAAACGATAAAAACAACAAAAGTAAACAATGCATTGTTGAATTGGACTTAAACGGGACAAACGAATAAAATTTCGAAGTCCCTTACTTTCATCAATCATCTGTAAAAAGGGGGCCATACTTTTAAAAAGTAAGTACTCGATTTTAGATTATACCTTAATCAAGCTTATTATTTATGTTTTACATAGGATAGCATTAACATAGTTTTAAGACTTTGCGGCGCTGAATAAACAAAAGCATGCATGCAAAAATTCAAACGAAAATGCGGAAAACATAATTTGCGCCCCCTACATACCCCCACAAAGGGTGAACAAATTCTCATTATGTATTATTGGATGGTTTTTATTTCTAAAAATGTTTCTGTTGCATGTTTTAAGAGTGGTGTTATTGTTCGTTTTTTATGATTTCCTCGTTTTTTAGCACTAATGATAAGCAAAAAATTATGGGAAACGACACGGTAATGGCTTTGCACTCTTGCATATTGTTGCACAATATTGGAAAGCACTTTAATGCGTTTATTAGCGACGAATTGCGTTTGAACCCCAAAACAATTAAAAGCGCATAATACTAAACGAATTTGGCGTATGCGACATTGAAATTTTGTACCTTTGCGAAGGTATTGCGTAAAAATCTGGCGATTATAAACTTGAACTTATATATCCCCTTGATATATATTTGCGCAACTTGAATAACGTACAGCGTGGCTGTTGAATTGTGATATTTTATTCAGACAATATGAACATAACCCCTGGTTTCTCAATCTTTAAGCGACTTTATACATATACAAGAGCGCATTAAATTAAGGTATTATAAGGAATATATGCGTAATGTCTTGTCAATTACTTATGCGGCATTTTAAATGAAGGCTAGTGCGAAGCGCATTATTCATATCAAATGTGTACTATACATATCTAAATAGACTAAAGAATTTCAATAGCGTTAATATACTAACAGTGCTTTGATTATACAATCTCAAGGGGAACTGAATTTGATCAATGAAGTTACAAAAATTAGACCTCCAAACAAGGGCGATCTATAAATTATCGTTTGTTTTTGAAAGCGAGATAACGAGCGTTAAAATAACTCAGGAATTTTAAAGAAATCAGTCAGTGATGAAAAGGTAAACAAAATTTTACCAACATTTCGATCAATTTTATTTTGACTTCGCAAATAATGAGTTCATTATGAAATATACGCAGAAACGGTTGAGTGGGAAATGAAAATTGACATCAAATTTCTGAAATAAATTAACTTAAATATAAATGAAGTACAATTTTAAATACGTCTCCACAGCAACAATAAATTATGATATGATAAATGAGTTTTTACAATGTGACCAAAATCAAAATGCTAGCACGAACCTTTTAATATTTATTTGAGGTATATTTTTGGGCATGAAAAATATCTTTGGATGTTTGAATATTTCCGCTGTATTTTTATGTTGCGTGTGTTATCCAAAATTCTCATAAAATATGCGTTGAGCGTACGAAAAACCGAATTATTTTTCTGGAAAACCACAAATGCAAACTTTTACAATAATTTAATAATGGGTCTGGCATTCACCAAATAAAAAACATAAATTAAGTATTGCCTAGACGTCCAACTTTGAATCTAGTTAGATATTTATAGTAAAGGGACAACAAATAAACAATAGTACAAATTTTGTGAACAAAATAATGTGTACACAGAAATAATATCGATTGACTTAAATACAACAAATGTTGACTATAAAAAATACAAGTATACTTTGGAAATAACACTCAGGTTCAGGTTCCGAATTTAACAATTTTCTTTAATAGTCTGGCGAGTCAAATGGATCTAATACGCCTAGAACTGAGTTTTCTATTTTAATGAATTAAAAAAATGAATGTTATCAGAGGTTTCATGGTTTTGCGATTTCTTGAATAAACACAGTTTTATGTTTGGATGACTATACGATGAATTTGGACAAGTGTAAAAAAATATGACAAGGTTTTATGTTAGTGTGGAATGACAGTAATTGTAAATAATGACAACTTATTATGGAGATTTTAATAGGACGAAACAGCTTTAAAAGCTTGTAAATATAATTGAATGAAACTGACTTTTGGTTGAGTCAAGTCAGTACCGCGTGATGCCACGAATAAAATTGTTATAATTATTTTGTGCCATGAATGTTTATAGCATTAGGTTAAGATTTCGTATCCTTTATATCCAAAGGCCTAACTTAAAGTTAAAGAAGTACGTAGAATAAATTTGAATGTACAATGTTGATGACTGTAAATGATTGTACATATTTTTTAAGTGGAATTTTTATAAAATCTTAATTGTATAGCTATCAGGCTAATTTTTAATTACTATAAACAAGAATTAATCTACTGATTGAACAAAAACGTTATTTTGATGTTTGACTAGCTAACAATATCACAATTAATTAATTAGTGTACACTATACTAGGGTAGGCTTTTTTTTTATAATTTTATTAATTTATGCTCATACTAATGCGGCTGAACATTTTACGATGGAAACTATCCATGGAGTTTACATGAGGAACAAGAAAGTTGTACATATTTAGAAAAAATAGTGTTTGATGTTAACTGTATAAAATATAAATTCGTAATAACTGCGATGTATTGGAACTCGAGGTGCAGGGACCGATTCTATGTTCGTAATAAGAAAAATTTCGACTTAAAAGTTAATTTTTTGACTAGTGGAGAGATACAGAGTCGACAATTTTTTCTAGCTGTGAAACTGATAATTTTAATTTTGCAAAAAAAACTGGAATTTAAAATTTTTGGGTATGACTATTAAAAGAATGAAACTATAAAGCGCAAAAAATGAAATATAAATTCAAAAGTACAAATAAATTTTTAGCGAATGGGAAGTTGAGCTTGAAATATTTTTACGTGTATCCAATTGGCTTAAGAAGTATTAATAATATTGAAAATCTATCAAAATGAATTATTATTCATAGCGGTAAAAAAGTTTTGTTTGTAAAAAACTATCTACGGAAAATTACGGAAATTTAAACCACTGCGTTTTTATGACTTGAAAAGGAATTCATTCACTTTGGTTGCATATGTGACAGTTTTTGAAAATGTAAAGTATGGCGAGAGATATCAAGAGAAATTAAACTATTCATAAAATACTACTACTGATATATTCGAACGTATAATCCATATTTATTCTGATTTGTAAAAATTTTCGAGTGGGTTTGTAAATGTTTTAAAAATTGCTTTTCTTTAAATGCGTGTTTATATTTAAGATGTGAAGTTATGAAGTGAATCTTTTTTCAAATTTTATCAAATGCGTTCTCCAGACAATTATTGGAATATCTGAAATACATTGGTAATTCTGGATGTTTAAAATAAGTGCACATTTTTTTATATAAAATGATAATTTTCTTTTGTGTGTAGGGACAGTTGATTTTATAAAATTAGTAACTAGAACGAATTTGTAGTCAAAATAAGACATCGGTTAAAAAGTATTCTCAAAGAATTCTGAGATTATAAGCAATATCTTATCTATGTACGGCCATAGGTTTAATGTGTGTTGTGTGTATCATCACAAATTTGTGTGGGGTTTATATACACCTAAATCTACTAAATCCAAACATAAATTGTCAAATATACTCTGTCGTAACACAAAGAAATATATTCCGAGTTGTTTTTAATGTCAAGACAGAAAGTCGGCGGTTGTGAAAATTAAAAATGAACCAATTTTGGACGCAAAATTATGTTTTGTCATACATTGCTCACAATTGTGTCAAAGCTGAGATACGTTTTTTTGTAGCTTCGAAGCAATTCAAAGATCATAAGTCAAATAACATCACAAAAATCTGAAAATAGTTGTGTGTTAAAGGGTTACAATTTACGTCAAGTAGTTATTAGGAGGTTTTAAAATGAAGTTGTTAGGCGACATTTAAAATAAGTGCGCAGTGTTTTGAGAGTTGAAACGGTCTAAATTGAACTTATACTTTTTATTTATATTGTTTTATTACAAGTTTTGTTTATTCGTTATAGCGCCAAAAAACTACTAGTGTACGTATTATAATTTTAGCAACTGTAGTTTGTAAGTTTGATAAATAATCGAACATTCGCTAAGTAGATGTCTGTACATATGTAAAACTACAATGGGTTCTCACAATCTGGTTCACCAGTTGACTTGTAGAGTGCGCTCGCTATACGATTTAGTAAACGTCTACAATCACACACTTATGAAATACTGTATGTTTAGGAGTAACTAGAAAAATTAGTATGATCTTATAAAATGAAAATCTATACTCGATAATTATATGAAGGTATAACTGTATCCTCGTAATATAGACATAATACAAGGGAAAATGAAGACTAATAATTTTTATCATGATTATATGACAGTTGGATAATCTTGTTTTTTCCACGTGGAAATAGACTGATTTTTTTTTTACAAAAGCGCTTAAAACACAAATACGCACAATTAGGTTTTAAAAAATATATAGATTTGGTGTAGATCATGGCTTTAGTTTAGTGAATGAGAAGAAATCATCCAACACGCTTTGTTACAAACGCACATATTAAATACAACCGTAAATTATTTGAGTGTTAAACGTAACTAACTATTACATTGATGTGTTTGACAACTTAGAAGTCTTGGAATTACATATTAAAACAAGCGAATTTCAGTATACAAGTAATCTTAGTGTACATACGTTGCTATGCAACATTACATACACCGTACAATATAAATTGGTTCTACCCAACAAATGAACAATTTCTAGTCATACTCTTCACGAGTTGAAAAAAATTATAAAATTGGATTACAATGCGCACACTAATATCGCACAAATGACTGTTTCATGTTTATGTTGATCATCAGTTTAAAATTATTGGGAGCGTGATCGCCGTGTAACTGAAGTCTTATGCTTTTGTTATCGTTGTGGTGTAAATAATGAGTCGATGTCTCTGTGTTAGTAATAAATGAATGCCTTAAATGGGCTAAATACGTTACAAAATTATAATCTTGTAGTATACGTAGTCATAACTGTATTAAGGTATATAAAAATGACAAAGTCTGAATATGGGTAAAAATAAATTCTTGACTATGTTAGAATAGTGTTGTGTATATATATTTCTGACGACTTAATCGTACTTAAGTACGTAACGAGGGTGGAGTCGAAATTATAGCCAAATTTTTTGTTTGAGTGGATGTTCGTCATGTGTTTAAACCGAGATTGTGCTAGTTAAGTTTCACTCAGATTGGAGGATCTGAAAAAAATAATTAACCAAAATGCGCACATTAATTCGCACAAAGAGATATTTTTGTTGTATTTATAACAATTTATATAGTTGTTAGTGTTAACTTCTTCTTTACCAAAAACTTAGAATCTAAGCCGAATTAAAGTTTGTCTGAAAAATTCTTGAATAAGTTGTTGTCGGTGTATTAATAGCAAGTAACATTAACAAATAAGTCATTTAATTAATTTAATACTGCGTCTATATTTTTTAAACTTAAAAAAATTATCGAGAAAGTTGTGGGTACGAATTGAAACGATCCAACGTGACATGAAATTAGCGACGAAAGAAAACCACGGTTTGCAAAAATTATAAATTTCAAAGTAACTAATTTAGGAAAAATTACTTAGAAATTAGATGCGTTACTTATTACTTGTAACAGTTTGACCCATCAGAGTATTTGATGTACGTGTACAAACACAAAAAATCATAGGGCTTCGTTCAACTAAATTGTTGTTGAAAAAATCTATGAAACAAAAATAAAACATATTTTAGGCAGTGTAAATTTTAATCAACATGTATAAACAAGTTCGAAATTTTTCATTTGTTCGCAATAACACAGGTGTATATAATATACAATGGTGTACAATTTTTACATATACAGTTAGACAACAATTTTTATGTTGGTGCTCAGGGTCACCAAAAAAATATTAATGAAACAATGAAAAAGTCAAATAAAAAAAAAGTTGAAAAAATTACGTGGTATGAAAATTAGAAAAATTATAATAATGACCTGACCTGACCTGACCTAACTTAGCCCGACCTGGCCCATTATGACTTGACCTTATTCGATGAAACTTGTCGACGAAAAACTTGATTTTTTGAAGAAGGAAAATAAAACGAATAAAAGTGTTTAGGGTTAACTCGTTAAGTAATTACTAATTAGAAATGAAATTCCCAACGTAGGCATTTTCGTGAGTAGTAGTATATTTAAGTAAACCTTCTTATAAAATACTCCAAGTGTAATATATAACACTAGTGTTTTACGTTCTTTGAAATGAATATATGTTATACTGTACGATGTATGTAATTGAAAATATTAAAGTAAGTTTATTGTAATCGTAAATTTGTAAAATATGAGACTTTCTTTGTGGTTATATTTCTTCAGGATTTTTAATATCTCCAGTTCTTGAGATCACAACGTCACGGCATCTGGCATATAGCAGTAGAATTAGTAATACGTAATTAGTGGATACTTAAATTTCATTGTGTACATACATATATAATACAACTATGTATGATTCCTGTACTTTGTAATAACTAATAAGTTAAACATAGATACGTCGATTTTAACACTTCTAACTTCATGGGAAATTGATATTACAGTCTTACAAATTTGCAGTTAAACTTGTTTTGATTCTAACTACTTTCAATTGTCCATAAACAGCGTGCTAAGTAAGCAGTAGTCAAATTTTAGTTATAGGCAGTCTTAATTAGTGACTAGCTTAGCAAAAATTATAAAAGTCAACAAGTAGGAATATTCTCGTGTTTAAAACACATTTGAATTTGTGTCGTATGATATAGATTTGTAAAATTAAAATGACCTCTGCGATATAAAAATGGTCAACTAATATTAAGTAATACAATAAATGTGTATTAATTGTAAACTACGTTTAATAGGGTCTTTGATGAAGTTTCATGATGCAATAATGCTTCTAAGTATATAAAACTTTGTAGAATACTTTTCTGATTATTTTATAGTCGAGCTTGTCATTTACTTATTTTTTTTTAACTTTAAGAACTTCTATTCTACGTGTTTTAGTAAAACAGTTATTTCAATTTATCTGACTTTTAGGAAAAAATGTTTCATCTACTCTATTACTATTCTTATAATCTAGCAATTATGATAACTAAAATGTGACTTTCAAGTATACATAAACTTAATATACTCCTTACTATTAAATTTTATAAATGTGATGTCACAACAAACATACGTGTTCTTTAATTCCTTACATGAAAGTAGCTCAGATAGTATTAAACACGAAATGTTGACATTTAATACTACTGAATTAGTTGATGTACATATAATTCTGCGCTAACTTGTAGTTGATAGCGGTTTATTTTAATTTTTTGTTAACTTCTGTCTTTAACATCTATATACTTCAGAATTAACAAGGGTCGTGATTTACAGTGCGTACTTATTTTAAATGCCTGTTTTAACGGATTTCCGTACTAAAATTAACAGACTGAAGCAACATGCTCGTTTCATCCACTAATGTGCTTCCTAAGTCATTAGTTTCAATTTAGTCAAGGTGTGAATATTAGTCCTAGACGTAAGTACTCAATGTATTAATTTGTGGTTGTGTTATGTTCCTACTGTGTATCAAAGATTTAAAATTTATGCTTGTCGTGGGACGTTCAATGAAAACTACAGGCCAAAAATTAAGTAATGTATTTTTTTTCATGATTAAGAACGGCTTCATTGTGTAAGAATTGTGGTTGCATTGCCAAGATATTGGACTATCGTAACATAAGAAATCTAATAAGTTAGTTGTAGTTGTTTAATGCCTGAAACTGTGCTTTTCACGAAATGGCTTGAAATACATGATACACTATGTTTTGTTCTCGTAAATTCAAAATTGACTTTTTTCCATGTCGTGAAGTGGGTAACAACACAAAGTGTACAAATGTATATATTTCTAAATACTGTTTCTAGAAATATGTGTGCTTATTTTAAATTTTAATGATTTTTGAAAAAATGACGATTAAGTCAAACAGTACTTGTGAGCACTGCATAATTGTGAACATTGTAGTCACTGGCGTTTCTGAATGTTGTATCCTAGTGATGTAAAAGTTCGTTTGGTTGCTAATTTGCCCACTTAATGCAATATTAAACCAACTTGAAGGCACTGTATGTTTATAATTAGAGTTACTGTGAGTGTTGTAATTTTCACTTATTGGCAAAGAACATCAGGTATGTAAACATTTATAGTGTGACGATTAAACGCTATTTTGAGTACTAGCGCTTATTTTAGAGTTGCATTTGTTGTTTGGTTTCTGGCAAATTGCTGTAGTTAACGTGTATTAAGATCCATTTGTGTCAGACTATATAAAGAAATTGAACTCTTATATAGCTGATTGTGTCGTGAGATTGCTGCTTGTAGCACGTCGCCGCATAAAAATAAAGCTCCCACATTGCTAAACCACCTCCCACATATTTTCAATTTTTAAGCAATCTACATCTAGATGTACCTTTTATTCTACTTCTTTTCGTAGCTTTTATACGTAGTTATAATTGTTTCACAATCTTAAGATTGTCTTCTTTTCCGAACTTTCCTATTGTCTGTCCACTTTTTATCTACCTTATTGATAGTACTCAGCACACGAAAAATATCAATATTACTTACTACTAAGTGTTAAATTTTATCTCCTCTAGCACTATAACGAATTATCGCACGGAATAAAATTGATCGAAATGTCCATAATACTAATACAAATCGCAAAGCTTAGTCAAAGCGACACGATAATCCTATTCCATTTTACTACTTTATTATAACTGTTTTACACTTTTAACAACGGTCTTGTTGTCATTTATCACTTTTTTACTTTTTCCATTTTGCCACTATTTTATAAAAACGAATGCTTTTCCCCTCATTCTCAATCGAATTCCCTCTCAGACAACCCCATGCATGTTGAAGCGACTTCTTCGTGCTTGTTACCCCGAGCTTCCCCGTAGTTTTTTAACTCATTTCTGGGGCTTTAATAATTCGATTGCTTTTTCAATTTTTGTACGAATTCGTGTGGAACTACCTCTGCTTTTTAAGGTACATATCTGTTGGATGTTTGTCGTTGTTGGAGTTTCTGTAGAGTTGAGTGTAAATAATTTACGATACAGGTAGTGATTGATCTATTTAACAGTTAACATAGAATGTTTAGAGTTGTTACATTCATGTGAACTAAATCTTGTTCCCGCCTCGAAAAATAAGTACTAGAGCACAGCTTAACACACTTAAGTCATCATTTCAGCAAGAGCATGGTCATTTAAGCTTGTCAGTGCTGTGTAGAAAGGTTGACATGTTGATCAGGAATGGAGGTTTAAATATGGCGCTTCAAGTTTGATAACATACTCACGTTTTTGGTATATTGTTTTGAGGAATCTTAGGTGTTGTTTTATTTAATGGTTTGGTTAATGTTGGCGATTGTTCTGAGTATTTACAGCGTATGGTGGATTATGTATGTTTAACTTTCAGTGTATGTTAGCAAAGGAAAGTATTGGGTAAATATGTTATACTGTGTTTCGGCTTGACATAGATTTTTTGTATATACTTATATCACAGTTACAGTTTTTTGCTTGTCTGCTTTATAGTTTAAGGTGTTTTTATTTCTTTGGAACGAAAAATTAGGAAAGGAATGGGGCATTTCGTAATTGCTGCAAGAAAAATTGATTTGGAAATGAGCGCATTATACTAGTATATTTGAGTTTAAGACATCGTAAGAGGAAAAGTGCGTATTATGGTTTTCAGAGTTCGTTATATTTTAAGGCGTTCGTAGAAATACGTTGCGCATTTGAAAACGCGAGAAAATTTGTAATCGATGCGTCAACTGAATTTTGATTCTGATATTGGTGTAAACGTCCATTAGTAATAAGAGCTAGCTTTAAGTATTTGGTTGAGTAACAAAGCTAAAAGAGTTTTATGATTTATTTATACGTACATGAGTACATGAAAGGAAACATATTTATTAAACTTTCCAGAAAACGTTATTTGTATTTCGAATGTGTATTGATTGATTTTATAATTATATCTTTGACATCAAGTTTTAACTAAATGTAATTGATACTGGTGCGTTCACTACTACCAACAATGGCGGATCACTTTTAAGATATGTTGCGAAGTGTTAGACGTATGAAAAAATAAGAACGTAAATAGAAGACGTACAGATAATGATAAAAATAAAATTATTATATAAAGCGCTACTTTTTGACTGATTTTGATATAAATTTGCTATAACAACATTATAGGTGTAAAGTGTAACATAGAGCGGTAAATAAAGAGACGAGAACATAGAATATAGGATAATTTTTTAAATAAATTTTATTGAATTTGTGTTGAACTGCGTTGCGGACAGAATTTAAAAATGTACATTGTAGGCCAAAAATTGAAAATATTTAATTATGAAAAACGAAGAGTTTATTGAAACAATTTGTAATTTTCTTTCTAAATAAAACATTTATGAGATAAAATTTTGACAACAAGTAAACAATTATATGTTTGAATTATTGTGTGAAAAAATATTTTGACAAAGCGGAAATTCGATTGAATTGTGAAACAACAATGGTATAAAAAACAATATTCGTGAAAAGTTTTCTATAAAATGCGTTGTGTTAAATACATAAAAAAGAAGTACCTATTAATGGAAGTCTGTTATAGTAAAGCGAAATGAAAAAACGTGCGAAATAAATGAAAAATAAAACAAAATGAATAGCCAAAAAGTGTAGAGGTGGAGTAGAGGACAAAATTTAAAAATGTATATTATAGACGAAAAATTTACTTGATTGTACTGAAAACGTAAAATAAAATAAAACATTTCAAAACAGAAATAGCTTCAACTGAACAAGGTATTTAATTATTAAAAACGAAGATTTTATTGAAACAATTTGTAATTTTCTTTCTAAGTAAAACACTTATGAGATAAAATTTTGACAGCAAGTAAATGATTGTATGTATGAATTATTGTGTAAAAAAAATAGTATGACAAAGCGGAAATTCGAATGAATTGTAAAACAATAATGGCATTAGAAACAATATTCGTGAAAAGTTTTCCAAAAATGCGTTATATTAAATACATAAAAAAGAAGTATTAGTGAAAGTATGTTACAATAAAGCGAAATGAAAAAACGTGCGAAATAAATGAACAATAAGACAAAATGAATAGCCAAAAAGTGTAGAGGTGATTTGAGGACAAAATTTTAAAATGTACATTATATATAGACGAAAAATCGACTTGATTGTACTGAAAACGTAAAACAAAATGAAAAATTTCAAAGCCAAAATAACCAACTGAAGAAGGTATTTAATTATGAAAAACGAAAAGTTTATTGAAATAACTTGTAATTATCTTTCTAAGTAAAACACTTATGAGATAAAATTTCGATAGCAAGTAAACGATTGTATGTAGGATTTATTGTGTAAAAAAAAAATAATATGACAAAGCGGAAATTCGAATGAATTGTAAAAACAATAATGGCATAAGAAACAATATTCGTGAAAAGTTTTCCATAAAATGCGTTGTATTAAATACATAAAAAAGAATTAATAGAAATATGTTACAGTAAAGGGACATGAAAAAACGTGCGAAATAAATGGTAAAATATGATAAAATGAATAGCCAAAAAGTCTAGAGGTGGAGTTGAGGACAAAATTTAAAAATGTACATTATAGATGAAAAATTGACTTGATTGTACCGAAAACCTAAAACAAAATGAAAAACTTTGAAGCCAAAATAACTTGAACTGAACAAGGTATTTAATTATGAAAAACGAAAAGTATATTGAAACAGTTTGCAATTTTCTTTCTAAATAAAACACTTATGAAATAAAATTTTGACAACAAGTATTGCTTAAAAAAAAGTATGACAAAGCGGAAATTCGAATGAATTGTAAAACAATAATGGCATTAGAAACAATATTCGTGAAAAGTTTTCCAAAAATGCGTTATATTAAATACATAAAAAGGAAGTATTAATGGAAGTATGTTACAATAAAGCGAAATGAAAAAACGTGCGAAATAAATGAAAAATAAGACAAAATGAATAGCCAAAAAGTGTAGAGGTGGAGTTGACGACAAAATTTAAAAATGTACATTATAGCCGAAAAATTGACTTGACTGTACTGTAAACGTAAAACATAATGAAAAATGAAATTCGAAGCCAAAATAACTTCAATTGAACAAGGTATTTAATTATTAAAAACGAAGATTTTATTGAAACAATTTGTAATTCTCTTTCTAAATAAAACACCTATGAAATAAAATTTTGACAGCAAGTAAACGATTGTATGTATGAATTATTGTGAAAAAAAAAAACTATGACAAAGCGGAGATTCGAATGAATTGAAAAACAATAATGGCATTAGAAACAATATTCGTGAAAAGTTTTCCAAAAATGCGTCGTTATAAATACATAAAAAGAATTAATGGAAGTAATTTACAATAATGCGAACTGAAAAAAAGTGCAAAATAAATGGTAAAATAAGACAAAATGCATAGCCAAAAAGTGTAGAAGTGGAGTTGACGACAAAATTTAAAAATGTACATTATAGCCGAAAAATTGACTTGATTGTACTGTAAACGTAAAACACAATGAAAAATGAAATTCGAAGCCAAAATAACTTCAACTGAAAGGTATTTAATTATTAAAAACGAAGATTTTATTGAAACAATTTGTAATTTTCTTTCTAAATAAAACACCTATGAAATAAAATTTTGACAGCAAGTAAACGATTGTATGTATGAATTATTGTGAAAAAAAAAAATACTATGACAAAGCGGAAATTCGAATGAATTGTAAAACAATAATGGCATTAGAAACAATATTCGTGAAAAGTTTTCCAAAAATGCGTCGTTATAAATATACAAAAGAAGTATTAATGGAAGTAATTTACAATAACGCAAAATGAAAAAAAGTGCAAAATAAATGGTAAAATAAGACAAAATGCATAGCCAAAAAGTGTAGAGGTGGAGTTGACGACAAAATTTAAAAAAGTACATTATAAGCGAAGAATTGACTTGATTGTACCGAAAATGTAAAACGAAATGAAAAATTTCAAAGCCAAAATAATTTCAACAGAACAAGGTATTTAATTATGAAACACGAAGAGCTTATTGAAACAATTTGTATTTAATTTTTTTCTTTCTAAATGAAACACTTATGAAATAAAATTTTGAGAACAAGTAAACGATTGTAGGTATGAATTATTGTGTAAAAAATGATATGACAAAGCGGAAATTCGAACGAATTGTAAAACAACAATGGCATAAAAAGCAACATTCGTGAAAAGTTTTCCATAAAATATGTTGTATTAAATACAGAAAAAGTATGTTACTGTAAAGCGAAATGAAAAAACATGCGAAACAAACGGTAAAATAAGACAAAATGAATAGCCAGAAAGTGTAGAGGTGGAATTGAGGACAAAATTTAAAAATGTACATTATTGACGAAAAATTGACTTGACTGTACCGAAAACGCAAAACGAAATAAAAAATAAAATTCGAAGCCAAAATAACTTCAACTGAACAAGGTATTTAATTATGAAAAACAAAAAGTTAATTGAAACAATTTCTAATTTTCTTTTAAATAAAACACTTATGAGATAAAATTTTGACAACAAGTAAACGATTCTATGTATGTATTATTGTGTAAAAAAATAGTATGACAAAGCGGAAATGCGAATGAATTGTAAAATAATAATGGCATAAGAAACAGTATTCGTGAAAAATTTTCCATAAAATGCGTCGTTATAAATACATAAAAGAAGTATTAATGGAAGTAATTTACAATAAAGTGAAATGAAAAAACGTGCGAAATAAATGGTAAAATAAGACAAAATGCATAGCCAAAAAGTGTAGAGATGAAGTTGAGAACAAAATTTAAAAATGTACATTATAGACGAAAAATTGACGTGATTGTACCGAAAACGCAAAACAAAATAAAAAATTTCAAAGCAAAAATAACTACAACTGAACAAGGTATTTAATTACGAAAAACGAAGAGTTTATTGAAACAACTTGTAATTTTCTTTCTAAATAAAACACTTATGGGATAAAATTTTGACAGCAAGTAAACGATTGTATGTATGAATTATTGTGGAAAAAAATAGTATGACAAAGCGGAAATTCGAATGAATTGCAAAACACCATTGGCATAAAAAACAACATTCGTGAAAAGTTTTCCATAAAATGCGTTGTATTAAATACACAAAAAAGAACTATTAACGGAAGTATGTTACAGTAAAGCGAAATGAAAAAACGTGCGAAATAAATGCTAAAAATAAGACAAAATGAATCGCCAAAAAGTGTAGAGATGGAGTTGAGGACAAAATTTAAAAATGTACATTATTGACGAAAAATTGATTTGATTGTACCGAAAACGTATAAAACAAAATGAAAAATTTCGAAGCCAAAATAACTTCAACTGAACAAGATATTTAATTATAAAAAAATGAAGAGTTTATTGAAACAACTTGTAATTTTCTTTCTAAATAAAACACTTATGGGATAAAATTTTGACAGCAAGTAAACGATTGTATGTATGAATTATTGTGGAAAAAAATAGTATGACAAAGCGGAAATTCGAATGAATTGCAAAACACCAATGGCATGAAAAACAACATTCGTGAAAAGTTTTCCATAAAATGCGTTGTATTAAATACACAAAAAAGAACTATTAACGGAAGTATGTTACAGTAAAGCGAAATGAAAAAACGTGCGAAATAAATGGTAAAATAAGACAAAATGCATAGCCAAAAAGTGTAGAGATGAAGTTGAGAACAAAATTTAAAAATGTACATTATATACGAAAAATTGACGTGATTGTACCGAAAACGCAAAACAAAATAAAAAATTTCAAAACAAAAATAACTACCACTGAACGAGGTATTTAATTACGAAAAACGAAGAGTTTATTGAAACAACTTGTAATTTTCTTTCTAAATAAAACACTTATGGGATAAAATTTTGACAGCAAGTAAACGATTGTATGTATGAATTATTGTGAAAAAAAAATGGTATAACAAAGCGAAAATTCGAATGAATTGTAAAACAGTAATGGCATAAGAAACAATATTCGTGAAAAGTTTTCCAAATAATGCGTTATATTAAATACATAAAAAAAAAGTATTAATGGAAGTATGTTACAGTAAAGCGAAATGAACAAACATGCGAAATAAATGGTAAAAATAAGACAAAATGAATAGCCAAAAAATGCAGAGGTGGAGTTGAGGACAAAATTCAAAAAGTCCATTATAGACGAAAAATTGACTTAATTGTAACGAAAGCATCAAACAGAATGAAAAATTAAATTCGAAGCCAAAATAACTTAAACTGAACAAGGTATTTAATTATAAAAAAATGAAGAGTTTATTGAAACAATTTGTAACTTTCTTTCTGAATAAAACACTTATGAGATATAATTTTGACAGCAAGTAAACGATTGTATGTATGAATTATTGTGAAAAAAAAAAAAATAGTATAACAAAGCGAAAATTCGAATGAATTGTAAAACAGTAATGGCATATGAAACAAAATTCGCGAAAAGTTTTCCAAAAAATGCGTTAATGGAAGTATGTTACAGTAAAGCGAAATGAAAAAACGTTCGAAATAAATGGTAAAATAAGACAAAATGAATAGCCAAAAAGTGTAGAGGTGAACTTGAGGCAAAATTAAAAAATGTTCATTGTAGACGAAAAATTGACTTGATTGTACCGAAAACGTAAAACAAAATGAAAAATTTCAAAGCCAAAATAAGTTTAATTGAACAAGGTATTTAATTATGAAAAACGAAGAGTTTATTGAAACAATTTGTAATTTTCTTTCTAAATAAAACACTTATCAGATAAAATTTTGACAGCAAGTATGCATTATAATGAATATATAAGTGAAATGAAAAACCTGCGTAATAAATGGTAAAATAAGACAAAATGAATAGCCAAAAAGTGTAGAGGTGGAGTTGAGGACAAAATTTAAAAGTGTACATTATAGACCAAAAATTTACTCTATTGTACCGAAGACGTAGAACAAAATAAAAAATTTCAAAACAAAAATAGCTTCAACTGAACAAAGTATTTAATTATGAAAAACGCAGATTTTATTGAAACAAGCTTGTAATTTTCTTTCAAAATGAAACTCTTATGAGATAAAATTTTGACAACTAGTAAACGATTGTAGGTATGAATTATTGTGTAAAAAAATAGTATGACACAGCGGAAATTCGAATGAGTTGTAAAACAATAATGGCATTAGAAACAATATTCGTGAAAAGTTTTCCCTAAAAGGAGGTATGTTACAGTAAAGCGAAATGAAAAAACGTGTGAAATAAATGGTAAAATAAGACAAAATGAATAGCCAAAAAGTGTAGAGGTGGAGTTGAGGACAAAATTCAAAAATGTACATTTATAGACCAAAAATTGACTTGATTGTACCGAAAACGCAACACAAAATGAAAAATTTCGAAGCCAAAATAATCAACCGAACAAGGTATTTAATTATGAAAAACAAAGAGTTTATCGAAACAATTTGTAATTTTCTTTCGAAATAAAACACTTATGAGACAAAATTTTGATAACAAGGAAACGATTGTATATATGAATTATTCTGAAAAAAAAAATAGTATGACGAAGCGGAAATTCGAATGACTTGTAAAACAATAATGACATAAAAAACAATATTCCTGAAAAGTTTTCCATAAAATGCGTTGTATTAAATACATAAAAAGAAGTATTAATGGAAGTATGTTACAGTAAAGCGAAATGAAAAAACGTGCACAATAAATGGTAAAATAAGACAAAGTGAATGGCCAAAAAGTGTAGAGGTGGAGTTGAGGACAAAATTTAAAAAGTACATTATAGACGAAAAATTCATTTGATAGTACCGAAAACGTAAAACAAAATGAAAAAATTTGAAGCCAAAATAAATTGAAACAATTTATAATTTTCTTTCTAAATAAAACACTTATGAGATAAAGTTTTGACAACAAGTAAACGATTGTATGAATGAATTATTGTGTAAAAAAAAATAAGATGGAAAAGCGGAAATTCGAATGAATTGTAAAACAACAATGGCATAAAAAACAACATTCGTGAAAAGTTTTCCATAAAATGCGTTGTATTAAATACACAAAAAGAAGTATTAATGGAAGTATGTTATAGTAAAGCGAAATGAAAAAACATGCGAAATAAATGGTAAAAATAAGACAAAATGAATAGCCAAAAAGTGTAGAGGTGGAGTTGATAACAAAATTTAAAAATGTACATTATGGACAAAAAATTGACTTGATCGTACCGAAATCGTAAAACAAAATACAAAATTTCAAAACAAAAATAATTTCAACTGAACAAGGTATTTAGTTATGACAAACGAAGAGTATTGAAAAAAATTGTTATTTTCTTTCTAAATAAAACCCTTATGAGATAAAATTTTGACAACAAGTAAACGATTGTATGTATGAATTATTGTGAAAAAAAAAAATAGGATGAAAAAGCGGAAATTCGAATGAATTGTAAAACAACAATGGCATAAAAAACAACATTCGTGAAAAGTTTTCCATGAAATGCGTTGTATTAAATACACAAAAAGAAGTATTAATGGAAGTATGTTATAGTAAAGCGAAATGAAAAAACATGCGAAATAACTGGTAAAAATAAGACAAAATGAATAGCCAAAATGTGTAGAGGTGGAGTTGATAACAAAATTTAAAAATGTACATTATGGACAAAAAATTGACTTGATCGTACCGAAAACGTAAAACAAAATAAAATATTTCAAAACAAAAATAACTTCAACTGAACAAGGTATTTATTTATGAAAAACGAAGAATTTATTGAAACAATTTGTACAGTAAAAGTTTTCCATAAAATGCGTTATATTAAATACAAGAAAAAGAAGTATTAACGGAAGTATGTTACAGTAAAGCGAAATGAAAAAACGTGCGAAATAAATGGTAAAATAAGACAAAATGAATAGCCAAAAAGTGTAGAGGTGGAGTTGATGACAAAATTTAAAAATGTACATTATGGACAAAAAATTGACTTGGTTGTACCGAAAACGCAAAACAAAATAAAATATATCAAAACAAAAATAACTTCAACTGAACAAGGTATTTAGTTATCACAAGCGAAGAGTATTGAAAAAATGTGTAATTTTCTTTCCAAATAAAACATTTATGAGATACAATTTTGACAAATAGTAAACGATTGTAGGTATGAATTATTGTGTAAAAACATAGTATGACAAAGCGGAAATTCGAATGAATTGTAAACAATATTTGTGAAAAGTTTTCCATAAAATGCGTTATATTAAATACATAAAAAAGAAGTACCTATTAACGGAAGTATGTTACAGTAAAGCGAAATGAAAAAACGTGTGAAATAAATGGTAGAATAAGACGAAATGAATAGCCAAAAAATGTAGCGATGGAGTTGAGGACAAAATTTAAAAATGTACCTACATTATAGACGAAAAATTGACTTGATTGTACTGAAAACGTAAAATAAAATGAAAAATGAACTTCGAAGCCAAAATAACTTCAACTGAACAAGGTAGTTAATTATAAAAAACGAAGAGTTTATTGAAACAATTTGTATTTAATTTTTTTTCTAAACGAAACACTTATGAGATAAAATTTTGACAACAAGTAAATGATTGTATCTATGTATGAATTATTGTGTAAAAAAAAATAGTATGACAAAGCGGAAATTCGAATGAATTGTAAAACAACAATGGTATAAAAAACAATATTCATGAAAAGTTTTCCATAAAATGCGTTGTATTAAATACATAAAAAGAAGTATTAATGAAGTTTGTTACAGAAAAAGAAGAAGAAGAAGAAGAAAAAGGTGCGAAATAAATGGTAAAAATAAGACAAAATGAATAGCCAAAAAGTGTAGAGGTGGAGTTGAGGACAAAATTTAAAAATGTACATTATAGACGAAAAATTGTATTGATTATAGCGAAAACATAAAACAAAATGAAAAATTTCCAAGCCAAAATAGCTTCAACTCAACAAGGTATTTAATCACGAAAAATGAAGAGTTTATTGAAACAATTTGTAATTCTCTCTCTAAATAAAACACTTATGAGATAAAATTTTGATAACAAGGAAATTATTGTATGGATGAATTATTGTTTAAAAAAATAGTATGACAAGGCGGAAAAACAGGTATTAATGGAAGTATCTTAAGTGTAAAGCGAAATGAAAAAACGTGCGAAACAAATGGTAATAAGACAAATTGAATAAGCAAAAGGTGCTGAGGTGCGCTAAATATGCGTAAAATGTACCAAAAACATAAAACAAAATGAAAAATTTCAAAGCCAAAATAACTTCAAAGTATTTTTTTATGAACAACGAAGAGTTTATTGAAACAATGTGTAATTTTCTTTCCAAATAAGACACTTTATGAGACAAAATTTTGGTAGGGAGTAAACGATTGCGAAATGTATAAATTATTGTGTAAAAATAGTATGACAAGGCGGAAAAACAGGTATTAATTCAAATATGTTACGACAAAGCGAAATGAAAAACATGCGAAAATAAGACAAAAGAATAACCAAAAAGTGTAGAGGTGGAGGGTGGGCTAAATATGCGCAAAACCATTTTATTCGATCTAAAGGGGTAGTTACGTCAACGTGCTGTAAAAACCACACATTTAAAAATACTTAGTTCTGTAATCAAATTATTATTATAAACCAAAAAGTGCGTAAAAATGACACCAAACGAGTATCGAAATAATGATATTACTTAATACTGTTAAGAGCGATGAAAAGCAACTTTATAGCTTTCTAGGTAAAATAATACAAGTAATTAATAATAAAAATACGTAAAGGCGGATAACGTTCATTATACCAGAAACACCAAAATTCTATATGGAACCCTACTATCATATTCGACGTCTATTGTAAATTACGTTAGTATTATTATTACTATTATTAATATAATTAATAATGTTAGAGGACACTGTCCTATGAAATTGTTGTACGCCCGGTAATATTTTAGATAGTTAAAAATAAGTATATATGTGAAATAAATTCTACAATTAAGTGAAATAGAAAAACCGCGAAACAAATAAAAAGTGTAGAGGTGGGATAAATACGAACAATATATTTTCTTCAAATTGCTAGTTATTTTAGTGTGTTTAATTCGGTAATCTTTCTAACCCAAATGGCGCTAAAATAGAAGTGAAAGTGAAAAACGGCAACATAGAAGTTAATTACTGCAATGTAAAAAGTCATTAACAGTATTAAGACCCGGTTCATAAAAGCGCTTAAACACGCAATTAATTAATCATGTGATCGACGTCAACCAATCCAGTGCTAAATTCCCGGGTCAACTGCACATTAAATTTTAATTCGAATTAAGTGTTTCATTAAATAAGCTACCATCAACCGGCCTTAAGAGTGACGAAAGAATGTCAAAACAAAAGCAACACATACCTACTTTTCGTAATTTTTAGCGCCCTAAGTAAGATAAAATGTTAGAAATTATTAAATGAATGTAATAAGTGGCAAAAAAAGTGTGAGTGAAGTATTGATCATACGATGAATTAAGGTTGCAAATAGTAATGTAAACTCTAAGTTAATAATAATAAGTAAATATGTAGCAGAATCATGGTGTAGTGGTGCGACATTAACTATTATTTTATATTATGGTTGTATAAGTTTAATATAATTAATTAATACTAATCGGAAATATTTGTCAACATACATATAAACGAATTATTGCATATTTGTTAGCAAGTAATCTACTGAAAACACCAAAACTCGTCAAATTGCGAATAAAGTCGAAAAGGGATCATGTATTATTGTAGCAATCAATGAAAAATTGTTGTTGTTTACTAATATAGTTTCTAAGTAAGAAAATTTTTTCGAGACCAATATGATATTTAAATGTTTGTACGTTTGTCGGAAACTTAATATTTAATAATTTTGACTCCGTTTTATAGAAAAGGTATAGGTTTTGATTATGTTGTTAATGAATAAATTATTAAATTAATTTCAAAACGATACTTTCACATCTCATTGTTTCTTTAGTATTAAATATCTAATAATAATGGTTGTCTGACATACATTTCAGTAAATTACATCGTCTTAGGTGAAATAATAAGTATATAATTTAAATGTAAAAAGACTTATATTATTTATAGAAAAATACTGCAGCTATTTGACATTAAATATATGATTACAATACTATAAAAATTTAGATACACATAAAAAATATTTGTATTTCGAGTAGGAAACAGGTTTTAAATGTACGAAAAACGCGAACTGTGTAATCCACAAACTATTGAAAAATAATTGGAAATACTACAAAAATTTAACAAATTTCTCATCATATAACACAAAAATAGCGATATAAATTATGGGCATAACTGTAAATACAATGGGTATTATATTTGACGTGTAAAATAAAAAACTAGTTAGTGTGGTAACAAATATGTTACAATAGAGCGAACTGGAAAAAATAAATAATTTTAAACAAAGCGAAAAACGAAAAAGTGCAGAGGAGGTGGGTGGGCCAGACATATAAAAACCATTTTATTCAAAGTATGGACAGAACACGTTCGAACAAAAATAAGGCGCAGAAAGTACTAAAAACAACAATTGAAAAAGTACAAAAACAGTACAAATAAACCAAATACAAGCCAGTTTAAAAGGAAGACAAATTTGGAAAATATTGCTGAGGTAGATATGCGTGCTATTATGAAGTAAAAAATAAGGGTTATTAACTATAGATATAAATATAGATTTGAAGTATTAAAATGTGAAAATACAGGGGATGAAGTGGAAAAATAGAATACATAATAACAATGTAGAAATGTACAAGAAATGGTTAATGTAAACATTATAATAATTGTATAAAACTGAGGAGGAATAATTCCACTCAAAATATACGGTCTGACATAATAATAATACGGAAAGTAAAAAAGCAAATAAATTTTAAGAGGTTAATGCCTTAATTTGATTTGTAATTATATATATTATATATTATATGTTTTAATTGCGTTAGAATTAGCCATGGCAGTTTCAACTAACCATGTTTAGGGAGATACGCCGATATTACAAGATAAGAAATATTAATTGTTAATCTTTATGTTATGTAATTCCCATATAAGGTATATATATTACAGAGGTTTTTAAGAAAACAATTCAGTAATATACAACTCGTTTAAAATAATTTATGACGAAATACAATATATCATTTACTGAAATCAAAAATACAGCCTTTTGTAACGTTGTGATAAAGTGAAAAAAACTTAGAAATGAAAAGTGACTTCAGTGTATTATTAGGATTTATTTTTAAAATAATGGTAATCGCACTCTATGATTATGTTAAGTTTGACACAACAATAAAATCAGGTTTATATTATTTTTATACATAAATATAATATTATTTGGTATATGAAGTGTAATATTGAATATATGTTCTAAACAAAATAACTTTCATAAAAACGCACAAGCCCTACATCTTGTAGTAATAATTTAGGTAAGGTTAATATTTACGTTAACAATTGAATATTTACACAAGAAATATGTTGTATTTGTACGGATAAGTGGTAATTTTCCTACGAGGGAAACAAAATAGCATTTTTTTTCATCAATAATTTTGTATTTTTTTTGACTTCATATACTGCTTCTATTGAATAAATAATAATCAATGAAATCAAACCATTGCCTACAAAAATGTGATAAAATATTCACGCATGAATTGGTGATATTGAAAATCAAAATTAACTTCAGGTTATTTTAGCGTTATTCTAATTTGATTATATAAGGTTATAATAAGTTGTAAACAAAAAGAGGGTAAAGGTGGCTCATGTACATGTAGGTGATTACGGATTACTTTTAAAATATACTAATTTGAAAATAATTCATATCTGAAACTCTTAGTCTTAAACGTAGTCAAAAACTAAATCCGAATTTGATAAAAAAAGGGAATTATCAGGATCTTTTTTAGCATATAGCAATAATCATTAATTATTTCTATAAAAGCAGTTCGTTTTTGAGGTTAACTACTTATTTTGAGTAAGTTTAAGTATAATATGTATTTTCTTTTGTGTATTTATTATTCTCGACACTTTGTGTATTCCTCGCTAACCAAAACAGCAATTAAATATTTGCTATGAACAAGAATGTCGGAATTTTTTTTTAGTGTGGCAAAATTGGAGTATTAAGGAAATTTAAATATCGAATGTTTAGTTAATGATAAATTTTTCAGTAGAAGAAACCCGGTCAAAAGTACAAGCGAACATGCAGGTATCAATATAATCGGTAAAACTAATGAACAAAAGGCACTTTCAGGGGTCAAAGTATTATAACATTGAAAATATGGCAAAATATATTACTTCATGATAATATTAATCGGAACTAAGGTATTGTAGGTGTAAATACAAAATTCAAAACATTAAATGTAAAAATGGAATTTGATATGAAAAGATGAAAACATTGGAATAATATTATAAATAAATGATGTACATAAATACTTGTAAAAAAGACAGTATACTTATGTAGATAGTTGAGATAATATGCTGTAATTGTAAAGAAAACAGTTGTTATGATAAGAATGCAGCGAAAAATGTAAAAAACCACGTTGAGATTATCTAATTTTATGTTGGAAGTATGATTTATATTAACTAAAAAACTTGTTACAAAAACTATGATTATTACGAAATTCTTTACAAAATAAATACTCTAATTGAAATCTGAAGATGAAAACAGCGGCTGAAGTGGAACAAAGAACACAATAAGAGCATAAAATTCTTTAAAATGTCAAGTCTTTTAAGGGCAATAATAAGTGAAACAAGCTTAAGTAACTTATGGAGAAATCAATAAAATCTGTTTACAATGGTAAAATAAAATAAATTGGTACAGAGTTGTGCGTATTTAGTATATTTTAACTTTCGAAATGTATAAATATAAGCTATTGTGAGGCAACATTAAGTATAAGTAAATCTTTTTCAGTTATTATTTTTAATTGTGTATTATATTTAGAGAAACAAGTACTGTTGAGGTCTGTGTGTTTCATTAAGGATATCATTATAACTGAAAATCAAAATATAGCCTTTTATATAGTTGTGATAAAGCAAAAAAGAATATCAGTAGTACATACCATGCGAAATGTAGTTATTGATAACGCAAAAAACTAATACAGGACATCCAATCTGTACTGAAAAAATACAAAAATAGAATAAAAATGGCTTTCGGGCACTGTCACGTGCATAAAATATTGATTTATTAGATCGTATTAGTTATGGATAATTTCTTATCAAACAACCAAATCAAAATTGTTGCCTGTAAAAAAAAATTGTGATAAACTATACTTATCCAAATTCGTGATACAGAAAATCAAAATTTTCTACTTTGATTAAGTTCAACAACAGTATTAAAAAAAGTTACCCAAAAAATGAAATGAAAATGATACACATCTAAACGAGTTCATATTTTCCTGGTGAACTAAAAGAAACTAAACAAAAAACATGTCTATGGACATCGAACAACGCAAAAATGCTAACACACAGTATCAGACTTCGTTCTTGGTAATTAATATACTAGAACCTTTAGTATTAAGTGTTATTAAAAACTATTTAAGTTATAAAATTAAGTACAATATTGATATAATTAATGAAATGCATAGGTTATAAGCAGAAATACTTAATTAAAGTTTCGAAAATGGCGCAGATTTTAAATTATCTTGTATATAAGTTTAAGGAAGCTGTAAATACGTTATTGTATAAAATGACATTTCAACATGTTTTCTATGCAAAACATTGGTCTTAAGGATAATTAAATACGTGTGCTACACGCATTCGTAATCGCTAGGCTGATATGACTTATTCTACAGTAAAGTTCTAATAAAGCTAGTAACAACATAACATTTATGTAAATTTTAAGATATTCCGGGGGTAAAACCGATGTAATTATGAAGACGTAGCTGAAATAGTGTATTACTAAGGTAAACTACATAACAAACCTGTATTTCCAAGTTTTAGTGCCAAATAGGTCTACAAAAACTGAATTTAGTAGGAAAAATAGTAGGAAACAACAAATTTAAAGTTAAACCAGCATAAGTAAAAGTAAGGTCACTGTAAAGACGTATTAGATATTTAACTGTAACGTATGTACATATTAAAAAAAATGTAACCAAAGATTTTAAGTTGTTGATTAGTTACAAGGGGTAAACTTATTTTTTTTTAATTACATAAAATTTGAACTTCAACATAAGACATAAGAAATGTATATAAAATATAAATATGCATTTTCTAAAAGCGTTGAAAGTCTGAAAATTTCACGGTCATAGTCAGCAATACATTATATTTCTAGTGTAAGTACAAACTTTGTACAAAACCAATAAGAATGTAAATTCACTTGTCTATATTAATGTTTTCAGTGCTATTATAAACTTTGAAATTTGTAAGTGAGTAGGGATGTCTAGAATAAACTTAATATCAGTTATTATATACTTAGAACGAAAATTAAGTCAGTAATATTGCTTTAATAGCGAATTAAGAGAAATATGAAAAAGGAAGTCAACAAGAGCCAAATATGTAAAAAAGAACCAAAGATATAGGAATATTGTAAAATATAAGGCTAAATAGTCACACTATTTGAAACATAAAATTTGTAATGTGTTCTGAAAATAAAAAAATATGAAAAGTTTTGAAAAAAGCGTATTTGTCCAACAGTCATTTTAATATACTGAGAACGCAAATATTAGAAAGAAGATACCACAACTACCTCCTTTTAGTCTCTTTTTTGAGAGTAAACGTAAAATTTGTTTATTAAAATTCCATCTTATAGGCAACTGTCGCTAAAAAATTTGGACATGGATATGAGACTAATTCGTGTGTAAAAATGAAACATTTCGAAGGCTTTTTGGACAGATACGACTTTTTCAAGTGATTTAATTTTTAAAAACGATACTCAATTTATTTTTAATGCATTACGACCTAACGCAGTTTATTATTATTATTATTAAATTAGAGTACTTACAGAGGCTAAACCTATATTGTATACCAACCCCAAAGTGCATTACAAAACCAATGTGCGTTACGCTAATTTTATTTTTCCATTTGATTTATAATTTTTATACTTCTGTCCAAGCAACAAATTTTGTAATAGGTAAAATTAAATTTTAAGGATTTTATAACAAGTTTCCAACGATTTATACGAAGATTATGTTCATTCTGCGAGTTGAAAATGAAATGAAACAAAAGACAGTTATTTAGAATTAAGAGTTCGTTAAATATTTCATCGATAATAATAATGGGTAATAATAAGGAATATTTCGTCGACAAAAACCATAAAATGCGTGTAATGTCGTCAATAATAACGCTAAACTACGTGTAAATCCTAAAAAAATAACATACGTAAAATAATACCGTTACCAATATTACCAATATTATAAGAATGTGGTGGTGAATAGATGTTTTCGAATGTCCTTTTAAAGGTCTTCCTTGTGTTAAATAAACACAGATTTGATAAACGCAGGTTTTAAATCGGTAGGTACTTCCAGAAAGTTCTTACGTGCTAAATCCAAAAACATATAGACAAGAAGCACAAAATTGCGGCCAAAATAGATTAATGAAAAAAAAAAGAAATTAAGAGCGATCAAAATACGGCAAACATAGAACATAATATAAAACTACACAACATACAAATAATGTAGAGTAAAATAAAATTAAGTCCGGAGGATATAATGAATCTCATAGATATTAAGATGTCTAATGAAACAAATAAGTTCTTAAAAAAAGCGCAAAAATTGGTGTATACAAAATATACAAAGAAGGTTAAGATTTTCCGAAGGTTGCAAGTCGGAGTTTAAGTTGAAGACGAAATTATTAAATGAAGGTTTAGCAGGAGTAATATATTGAAAAGGTGTAATATACAGAATGGTGTAAAAAAGGCTATATTATTATTTCATGAGTAATAAAAATAATGGTCGAAGTAAGATCAAAAAACAAATGATACAAAAAAAAAACTTACAAATACGGTAAATTACTAATGCTATAGCTGAAGTATATGTCAAATGTGGAATGTTAAAAATAAAATACAGTTGTCAAAAATTGAAATATAATTGAAGGTGAATGATAAATGTGTAAATGAGAAAAAAGTGTAAAATAAAAACAATAGCAAAACGGTGTAACTGAATACAGGGTGTTGAAAAAAGTGATACAAAAATCAAAATTTTAGATTAAAACTATTGATATAGATAGACTGTGATAAAAACAGTTATAAGGTTCTTACTACAGAATTAAAAATTAGCAGTTTTACGTATAATAGGTGAAATTCAAGTATGGCACAAATTAACATTTAAATGATTTAATTTAATTTCTACGTTAAAATTATCATATGACTGATTAGAATTAGTTACAACTTAAAATAAACTTTTATGTTTAGTGCATTAGTCACAATCCAGTCTTAGCAACATAAACTCATATATATAAGAAAACAGCACTTCGTTACAAATGTTCATTTTTTTTAAACTATAATTAAAATTAAAATTTACAATGTTTATCCATTGCTACTTAATTTTACATTAGTAGAAACTGAATCCCGAAAATAACTCGAACAACTATGGTACCATATTGAAAATTTTAAAACTATAGTTCTGGTTTTGATAACTTGAAACAAATTGTGAATTGGTGCACCAATAAAATCAAAAACGTTCTCACTCATAGCTATAGGTAGCTACCGTAAGTGTCTTTCATTAAAAAAAAAGTATGAAACCAAAGAATGAAAGTACTGGTGAAGTTTATCCACTTTTATAGTTTCATTATATGTGGAAATAACAAAAATAAATTTATTCCTACGAGTAAACAAAATCAAGTCAGCAATAAACACAAACCAAAAATTACGCAAAGACAGTCCATTACACAAATTTATTTAATTTATTTTTTGTAATAACTGAAGGACGAATTTCGTTCGACCTTCAAGAGACCCCCACGGGCTTGACCTTGGTGAGGCATCCACTGCAGATACCTCACTCAGTGAGGCGTCCCCCATGGATACCACACGTAGAGCGTCCACACGGACACTAACGTCAAACGAGCCCTTGCGGGAACTCAAAATTGACGAGGACCAAATCGGCTTGAGAGGCATTGGTGAGGCGCCACACTAACCTCATACAAGTCCTTAGGAAACTCGAAATTTTCACGAGGATCACTCGGGCTTGTAAAAGGTCATTCTGATGCCCGAATGTGGGCATCACACTAACCTTCGGCAAACCCTAGTCGAGACTCGGATCATCCGACTCTTGGGGAACGGCATGGGCTCGAAGGGCTCGCGATGAGACCGTTGTGGGCTCAGTGGGCTCTGAGGGCCCGACGTGGGGCTTGACGATGTTGGGCCCATGTTTGGAGACCGTGGTGGCCTTAGTGAGATCAGTTCAGGCTCACTTGATGAAATTAAGTTGACCTTGATTTATCTCAAAATGGCGCTCGATATTGTCAGCCACCCAAGTTTAGACACCCAAAAATAATTATCTTTGTGTGAGTGGGTAGTGTGGAATGGTGTGAAGTTGTATTATTGTTAGGTGTTTATGTACAAAATGTTATTTTAGTGGCGATTTATATCATTTAAATGTTTCTATACGGAATGTAATTGTTCATACTGTCAAGACAGACCATTTGATGACTCATTCTGTGTTTATTTTGTGTACTGAACATATTTTTAATGACTAAAATTGTGTTTCTGAAGGTTATCAAGGTTGTGTGATACAAATAAGGTATTTTTATGCAATGTGCTGATCCTTGCTGATTTGCTTGAAGGTTATCATATGTTATGTACCTAGCCATTAAAATAGGTCATAGAAATATGAAAGGTATAGCAGAATAGTACCTTTACACCTCTGAAGCCTAAGATAATGAAACATAAGATATTATTTTTGTGTAAATACCTACGTTAAGGGTGTTTCGTTTAAGGTGAATACTTCGAATGTTCATGAGTATGTTATGAACTCGCATATTTGAGTCAGGTGGTACACTATGTATACAAGTGAATAAGTATACAATGAAAAATATAACCAATATAAGGTTAACGAAATTGCAATCGCAAACATGACGTGCAATTATGAGCATTACAGCAAGTAATATTGAGGGTTATAAATATTAATCTCCGCTGCTAAGTACATGGTTGACCATAAAACGCCAATTTTATTACCATGCAGACAATTTTCAGTACGTACTGTCAAACAGCATGAACATCCGATTTTAAAACTTTAAAATAATATATGAAATGGAAGTGGAGGTGGGAGGGCCAAATTTTTATTATTTTTTATTTTACTTCACCACGTAGGTATTTCTTTCTTATTTATTATCTCTAGCTTCTAAATGGCTGTTAATGAAACGACGTATTCAAGTCCTACACATTCATCAAAATTAATCTATACATAATATATGATATAGTGTATCTTCCATTGTATTTATTGTTTGTAAAAAAATTTGTGACTAAAGAACAAGGTCAGCGAATGTTTAGTAATATAAAGTTTGATACTAAATATCGTCATTCTTTATCTTCTATGTGTACAGTTCCTGTGTTGTCAATTATTAAGTAAATTAACACTGTTTATAACAACCATAATTGTCAAGAATGTCAAAAGAGACGAGTGGACAATATGAACATCAAATTTAAATTTTTACAAAAACATGTCAGCTTTTGTTAGTCCGAACGATTGAACAAAGTACAAAAAAGTGATCACTACTTTTTGGTTTCCTAGTTGTGATTATTTTCTATGACCGACAGACCCGGGAACCATCGTAATTAAGGTCAAATTGATCATATTAAAAGAAGAAGAAGAAATTACACGAATGATCGAATTACCAAATTAATACATACAAGTAGTTTTAAGTGCATCGACCGACAGAGAAAATCTTAGGTAGTTCGTTGAAATGACGGTTCTAGCTAGGCCCGATCGCGTAGATGTTTTTCGTTCCTTATCTGGAGGTCATACATTTCGAAATTTGATTTGTTTCACTACTCAGTCACTTTTTTGTATTTGTTGTGTTAGGTGTGAGCTGTTTTTGTAGTAATTGTTGATTTGTTGTGTCATGTTTGAAGGTGTTCTCACACGACGCATTTTTATTCATTTTGTGTAAATTTTGGCATCGTGTCAGAGAATCTTTGAGTGCAAATTTTTGTATCTAGTGACGATGATTTGTCTAGTAGTGGAAGTGGCGGAGGGAGGGCCAAACTTTGTTTATAAAAGCTTATAAAATGTGCTTAAAGTAAGATTTTGCAAAAAAAGTAAGTTTGAAGGAAGTGGAGGTGGGAGGGCAAATAAATAAAAATAAAATTGAGTAGTATTTTGAGGAATAAGCTTGGAGGAAAGTGGAGGAGGGAGGGCAAAACAAAAAACAAAAACATGTGTTTAATAAAAGCAGCTGTTTTTAGTAAAATTTAAATTTTAGAGTAACTGAAAGTTAAGTCTTAAATGTTTATGTATTTTTCGCTGCAACTAAACGAAGTTTTTCAAGTTTAATTTTTGCACAAGTAGGAATTTTGTGTGTTTAGCATCAAGTCCCATAAGCTATTTTCTGAGTAGATGCAATGTTTAGAAAAAAAAGTAAATTTTGTTTCAAAAATGCTTATGCGAGTATTTCAGTCTAGTCCCAAAATTTGGAACAACCAATCCAGGAAAAGATAGTGCTGAAAAGAGAAGAACTGACGTGGATAAACAAGTTTAAGTATAGTAATTCAATATTGATCATTAATTGATAAATTAGTAATATTTTGTTTGGAAGTGGAGGTGGGAGGGCCAAAAAAAACCAAATTTTTGTAAAACATTTAGGCTTTATTAAATGAGTTTCAAGTATTTCTGCAGTTTTATTTCCCTTTTTATTCTTTTTGTATATGCAAAGTGTCACTATTTGAAAGGCATATTGCTATAAGAAAAAACAATTAATTAAATCAGAATTTCACTTCGATGAACTTCTAGAAGAGGTAAGTATTATATGGAATAAATAAATATTTTATTTCGTCTTGATTTTAAATTTTGTCAGTGGCTGTTCTCTAAATACTGGATTTAAGAGTTTTTTAATGTGGCCAAATTAACTTCAACATGTCAAAAATATCTTCCAAAAGTTAATCAATTCATCAGGTTTTTGTATGTTCAGTTTCTATGTTTTTTGCACACGATCAATTGTCATTAGTCAATTTAAAATTTTGTGCAATAATAAAAATTCGAATTTTTTAAACTTTAAACATAAATGAACTAATCAAATTGAAATCCTGTATATCTTTATTGCTTAGAAAATTGCTGTGAAGACATCTCTCAAATAAATGAAATATCGAGTGTTCAATGGAAAAAGTGATCAAGTTGTCTTTGAATTTTGGCAAACATGATGACGTAAGTCTACAGTAAACCTAAAATTTAATCGTTGATAGCTGCTGACAACGCGGAAATGTCAATTGTATACAACAGTATGGATTAATAAAATGCACACGTTTTTCGCGCTACGTTTTCCTCTTTCAAAGTAAGACACTTGATGACTTTTTCAGTTGCACATTACATACAAGTAAGTATGTTGAGGTAGGGGGCAGTCTTTTAAAGCCACGTACTTTTACTTCCCGAGCGTGTCATGAGCTCTAGAGTAGCAAAAAAGTAGTCCCCCGTTTCCGTCTGTCTGTCTGTCTGTCTGTCTGTCTGTCTGGTGTCTGTATCTATTTTTATTAGACAACTAATCTCCGAACCTACTGGACCGACTGTTGTCAAATTTTACGTATATTGTGGTATGTGAATCGGTGAACTGAAAAACAATATTTTGCAATATAACTTTGAAACTGCAAACCGATACGTCTGAAATTTTGTAAATATTTTAAGGTTATCGTAAACATGATAAATTGTTAAGTAAAATGTATTCGTTTACCCCCTCTCAAAAATGTCAAAATATGTCTATACTTGTGATTTATCATTGCATTAAAAGTTTTTAAATTTCTTATACAGGGTGACTCATAAAAATTAATGAGTATAAGTATAAGTATTTTTTTGGTGGTAAATGAGCCTCTAATCTCTTTTTAATTGATGAGCATAATTTGAATCTTTCGCTGAAATGGCGGATGAGCCTGAAGGTAAGCGAAGAAAAATGTTGCTGCCCACTTGCCGGGCGAGTGCCCTGACCATTAGACAATAGAGCGGCTCATCTTTGTTCTTTTGAAGGTTTTTCATGATATTTGAAGAGATATAGCAGAAATAAGGACAGATTCGTCAACCTTAAAAAACTACTAATAATACAGACATCTCTTTGGATTCAAATGGACAAAGCCCTTCTGGACAACAACTGATTATTTTTTTGAAACTTTTTCTTCTTATTTTGCATTATCAGCAAAAATTGTATGTATTTATAAATTTCTAAAAAAGGTTCAAATATGCGACAAACTAAAAAAAATCTTTTAACATCAGAAAGAAATAAAACAAGTACTGCTTTAAACTATACCTAAGATCAAGTACCATTTTTTGAACTGATTCACTTAATTTTTTTTTTTAAATAACTGTTTTTCTCAATTATTTGAGCAGACAATTTAATTAAAAAAATAAACAGATCCTGTGGAGGGATATAAGTAAACTTGGTATGACTGGGACAGCTTTAATATTTGGCAAAAACGGTGTTTCGTTTTCACTTCCGAGTGTGCGCAAAGGACATATTGTAATAGGGTCCCTCCGAATATGTCCTCGACGTTTCATGACTCCTACAGTACGAAAAAGTAGTGGTTGTGTCGATTTTTAGTTGATAGATAATCTTCGAAACTACTGGACCGATTGTTTTCAAATTTTAGATGTAGGCATATCAGAAATATGTCGTACAAATGGTAAAAACTTAACCAAAATTTGTCTAGTCATCCCCAAAAATGTTATATTGTTTAAATTTTATAGAAAAAGGTACTCCTGGACTTGTGGTTTATGGGTCCGCATTGAGTTTTTACAGTAGACTTCCAGATTTTTTGTGGAAAAAAAAATTGTAAAACATTTACAATTTAACTTTGAATGTCGAAACCAAATGCTGTGAAAGCTTTATGGTCCCCTCAAAAAATTCTTTCGAACTATAAACATAAAGAGTTGAAGTTAAACATGTGCTGAGAGTGGGCGGGGCTTATATTTTGCCTTTTTTCTTAATATTCGTAGTGTTCTTTTCGCAACAAGAAACTTGAAACAGGAAATAAGGATTTTGTAATTACGCTCCGCCCCTCAGTCTGACAATGAATGGAAAACTCATCACAATTGAGATCCAGACGGATGGGTGGGGCTTATCCTTTGTTTTTCTTTTTTTTTTTTACTTAACACATTTATTTAGTTTTCTCCAAGCAACACCGTCACTGAAGAATATGTTTTACATGCTAATTATTGTAGAAAAATACGGATTTTGCAATCAAGCTCCGCCCCCCTTGACTAACGACGAAGAAAGAAAAAGCGTCACATTTGGGATAGGGTGGGTGGGTGGGGCTTATGTTTTGTATTTTTCTTCTTCTTAATATATATTGTTTTTCGCCATAAGAAGAAACTGAAAACATGTTTAAAATCGTAATTGCAAAATCGATATTTCCCTATACAAATTTACCATTTTAGACATGTTTTAAGTTTCATGTTGTGAAAAGAAGTCTACACATATTAAAACAAAAAGGCAAAATGTAAGCCCGCCCACCCGCCCTATCTCAATTGTGATTATTTTTTTTATTCGCCGTGAACCAAGGGGGCGGAGCTTAACTGCAAAATACGTATTGCTTTACACGAAATTAAAAACATGTTTTTGAGTATTGGGTTGTTCAAAGAATACTATCTATATTAAGAAAAAAAGTCAAAATATAAATCCCGCCCACCCACCCTATCTCAATTGTGATGATTTTTTTTATTCTTAGATATTTCAAACACGTTTAAGATGGTAAATTTTTGGAAGGAAATACGGCTTTTGCAATTAAGCTCCGCCCCCCTTGACTAACAACGAACAAAGAAAAAGCGTCAGATTTGAGATAGGGCGGGTGGGTGGGGCTTATGTTTTGTATCTTTTTTTTCTCAATATATATTGTTTTTTCTCCATAACAAGAAACTGAAAACATGTTAAAAATGGTAATTTCAAAATCGATATTTCCCTATACAAATTTACCATTTTAGACATGTTTTAAGTTTCATGTTGTGAAAAGAAGTCTACACATATTAAAACAAAAAAAAGTTGTTGGTAAGATAAGGTTGATTTTGGCAAATAATATATTTTCTGGAAAAAAGGGGGTGGGTGGGCGGGGCTAGTATTTGCTACGATAAGACTGATTTTGGCAAATGATATATCCTTTGGGAAAATAAGGGGTGGATGGGCGGGCCTAGTATTTCTTAAGATAAAACTGATTTTGCCCCAATTAATCTAAGACTTATTAATCTTGTAAAATCTTGTGAAATTTAAAAGTGCTAGATTGCAAATTTTCCGTATCTTTTCACTTTTAAACTTTCATCATTCGCTAAAATTTACAAAGTCGGTTGTTTAGTGAGCACAGCATGAATCGAACAATCTCTTTTAAATCAAAAAAAATTTATTTGTTGTTGCTTATTTTTTCACGAAAATTTTATTTTTGACTCAACTGTGATTTTTTCATGTTCCTGCACTCTGAAAATTAATGTATCTCTACTGCTAATTATGTTTCAGATATATTTTAACTAAATATATTCATTCAGTTTTTAAAACATAAGAAAGATTTCAAATTTTTGAACATTGTCGATTTTGACAGTCATTACTGAATTTTCTGAAGATTTTCACTTCATTTTTCCGATTAATTCAACATTCTTCTAAAATTTAATAAGTCTCATGCTTAGCGAGCACAGCATTAATCGAACAATCTCTTTTAAATCAAAGAAAATTTACTTTTTGTTGCTTCTTTTTTTACGAAAATTTTACTTTTTACTCAACTATGATTTTTCATGAAAATTAACGTATTATGAGAATTTTAAAGTCTCCACTACCAATTATATTTCAGATGTTTAATGTATTTCATATTGCCTTCACTTATGCGGATTGCACCCCGTTTGGTTGTTATTTACGCCACTATGCCATTTTCAACTGCATTTCAGAAAAGATAAAGTTGACTTCAGTTGTAATTCAGATTACTAAAACACATTACGAAAAACCACAGTTGTAGATCAGATTAGTAAAATGAATTTGAGAAAACATCAACTGTAATTTAGATTGCATCAAATGTTTCTGCTGATTCTTTAGAACCAACTTTTTTTAGGCATGTGTATCATAATAATTGATTTCGTTCTTTATTTCATGCGTAGTTCTTTCTTATTTGAAGGGTGTCAGGAGGAAGCAATGAATGTCACATTGGATAAAAATCGAAATATTTAAAATGTAATCTTTGAAAGTCTTTTTTTTTATTGTCGCACATTATATTTCATAGTTTACACAAAAATTGTTCAAATCGAACAACATTTTATTTTGTATGAACATTCAATAAGATCATAATAGAATATGAAATTTGAACGAAGTATCGACACGGTTGTGAATGTCCGGGTCTCTGATTTGTCCATATATTTATCTATAGGAAAACGTCGTCGTCAGTTAGTTAGCTGAGGTTAGTTTCAAGTTTTTGTTTATCTAATCAAAAAAAAAAACTAATGAAATTGAATAGCGGTGGTGGGTGGGATAAATTGTACGTTTTGTGTCTAGATTTCGTTGTTTGTCACTATAAAATTCCCCTGTTATCCAATAGAATGAATGATCGGGAGGAAAATCGGGTGGGTGGGCGGGGCCACTTTGAATTTTTATAATTTCGATCACATGGCAAAATTAAATTAAATTTCCATTTAATCAAATAGACCATTGAAATTAAAAA